GATGGCAGCCTAGATTAGCACTCACCATTTTGGCTGCAGTATCACACTCATGCTAAGTTTGTAGGTCTACTATCACCCCTAGATCCTTCTCACATGTACTGCTGTCCACATGGTGCTCTCCTGCAATTCACTGCCTTCCTATATGTTCCCCTCCCTTGATCCAGATTCCCCCCCCCCCTTACCAGGGGTACTCTGAAAAAGAAATTAGTATGAGAAAAGGACAGGAAGGTGTGAGAAGGCAGCAATTTGGAGAAGAATGTAATATAGACAACAGATGATTAATGGAGGTACAGAAAGCTTATTAGCTATATTAAATGAAAGTATGGAAGAGCCTTAACACTCATGCCCCAAGCCTGATAGTATCATAGAATCCCCTGGCTTGGGGATCTATAGTAAACTCCCACAATGAGGTCACTGTTATTCTTCTCTCCCTTAATTTTGACCCAAATGCTCTCACTTTGGCTTTGAGGTTCTAAATCTTGGATCTCTTCACAGGTATACACATCCCTGACATATAACGCCACTCCTCCTCCTTTCTTGTTGGTCTGTTTCTCTGAAATAGATTGTATCCCTCCATTATTACATTCCAATCGTGGGACTTATCCCACCAGGTTTCAGTGATGCCTATTATGTCATATTTAGTTTGCTGTACCAAGAGCTCAAGCTCATCTTGTTTATTTCCCATGCTTTGCGCATTAGTGTACAGACATTGAAGTCCATTAATCATTCCCCTGTGTCTCTTATTTAAGGATTTTTTCCTCCCACCACTAGGTCTGCGTGCTGTTTGCTCCATTCGGTCTATGACATTTGGATGATCATCTTCATCAATTGATAGACTCCTACCTTCAGGAGCACTGTCTCCCTCCCCCACATTAGTCAGTTTAAAGCCCTCCTGATGAGGTTTCTGAGATTTTTGGCAAAAACATTCCTCCCAACTGTTGTGAGGTGCAGCCCATCGCTTGCCAGAGGTCCATCTTCAAGAAACTGCAGTCCGTGATCTAAGAATCCAAACCGTTCCTGTTTACACCATTTGCGAAGCCAGCTGTTCACTTCCACTATTTTCCCTCTCTCCCTGGGCCACGTCGTTCAACTGGGAGGACAGATGAGATGACAATTTGTGCATTTAATTGCTTCAATTTCCTGCCCAGAGCCTCGTAGTCTCTTTTGATCTTCTGGAGGCTATTGCTTGCACTGTCATTGGTTCCCACATGAACCAAGAGGAAGGGGTATTTGTCAGTGGGTTTTATGATTCCTTGCAGTCGTTCAGTTACATCTTGGATCTTAGCCCCGGGAGACAGCACACTTCCCGAGACATCTTGTCAGGCCCACAGATCACTGCTTCTGTTCCCCTCAGTAGGGAATCCCCTATCACCACTACACGCCTCCTCTTAGGTCTGGTCGGGGTTCTTCCGTGAGCTGTCCGTTCCAAGGTCGCCTGCACATTCCCTGAGGACTGACTTTGCTGCTCGTCTTCATATACCTGATCGACTGTAATGAGGGAGAGATCCTCAAATGGAGTCTGCTCTTCATCTTCCATGCTAGGGGAGAGGACCTCAAAGCGATTGTGTATTTCTAAACAATCAGAGCGAACCCTGGGCCTCCTACTTCTTTGAGTCACGTTTCTCCATATATCTGGCTCCTGTGTTGGTGAACTAGCCTCCTTCTCAGGGGAGTCCCCTGTCTCCTCCTTGGTGGAGACAGTGTGCTCTGTTGCTTCCAAGAAGAGCTCCAGCTCTCTAATTCTTTGGAGCGTAGCTACACGTTCCTCCAGTTGCTGGACTTTGTCTTCTAAGAGGGCAATCAACATGCAATTGCTGCAGGTAAAGCTGCCTGCAACCTTTGGCAAGATGGCAAACATTGCGCAGGAACCGCAGGCGACTGCAGCTGTTCCCTCCCCCTCCATCTTGAGAACGTGTCGTTGGGGGTGGCTACAGCAGTCCTCCATCATAAAAAGCGTGAAGACAGGCCAAATAACTCCCCCCCAAAAAAACCTAGGTCTGCCCCAACAAACATTTGAGACTAGCTCCCCTAAATCTAAAAGATGGATTAAACTGCGCACGCCGCTAGGCGCACGCCGCTACCCTGCAAGCTCTGATAAGCTCCTCCCACAGCTAATCACCTGCCTCAACAGAAACCCTGCCCCCTCTGACCTTTGCACAGGGAGAGCAGCTAATCAGCCACAAAGAAACACACGCACAAGAAAACCCCTTTTGCTCCCTCTTCAGCTGCTGCCCTGATATTCTCGGTTCAAATAATAAAAGGCATTAAAAATGGATATAATTTTATGTGTATATTGAGATGAAATGTGGATTTCAAGGTAAATAAAATTATGTGATAAAATTATGTGGGTTGCTATCCAGCTAAGTTCTACCCAGAGCAGACCTATTGAACTTGATGGACCTAAGTTAGCCACTGCAATAAATTTCCATAAATTTATTCTGAGTAGGACTAGCATTGCATACAACCCCAAATAATTAAGTACAGATTTTCATGTGGATTTTAAAATACAGAATCTCAGATTAATGCAGAAACAAAACAGGTATATGAACCCAAGTAAAATTAGCACAGACTGGAGATAGATTTATTTTATTTGGAGAGCAAGTGTGGTGTAGTTGTTGCATTAGGGCCTAAGAGACCAAGGTTCAAATCCCCCACTCAGCCATGAAGCTCATTAGCTCAGTCACTGCCTCTCAGTCTAACCTACAACACAGGGTTTCTGTAAGGATAAACTGGGGAGAGGGAGAGCCATGTATGCCACCTTGAGCTCCTTGGAGAAAAGATGGAATATGAATACAAAATAAATTAATTAATTTCCCCATTGCTTCAAGTTGCACCCCCTGAAATCTCCTCTTCTAGATAACTGTTAAAAATGCAGCAACTCTGCCTTCCTTTGCATCTGGCTGCTCAAGTCATGAAAGGGCAGCAGATTTTAAGTCCTTTAATTTATCATAATTGTCATGTTTACTCCCCAGGGAGAAGCGCTTGTGGGATTCTCTGCTTCAGGTGCCAGAATAATTCAGCCAGCCTTTAGTTAACTCCATGTACCTTGACTTGGCACGAGGGAGGAGACTAGTTGTTTCCTGCTCTGCCTCAGCCAACAAAATGTGTTTAATTCTGTTCCTTGTAGAAATCAGAGGCACTTTTCTCCCAAATGACAGACTTGTTTTTAGCATGCTATTTCCTCTAATCTGCACATTTTTGCAAGTGAATTTCCACTAACACAATATATTTTGTGCCTGCCATTTCAAGAAGATAAGGTGACCCTGGGTTCTGGATAAGGCCAGTGGCCCACCTCGTCCAGGATCCTGTTCTCACGGTGGTCAGACAGATGCTTCAGGACAGGTACACTAGAGCACTCTCTCCTCCTGTGGTTTCCAGCGACTGGTATTCAGGGGCATTACTCTTTTTAATTTTTTATTGATTTGCTAAGAAAAAAAGTTCAAGCATAAGAAAAAGAAAGAAAACAAATAACCTTTCTTGAAAAGATATCTCATAAAACTAAAAGTATCTAAAGGGCAGAGCTTGATTGACTGTTTTTCAATATGTGGCATGATTTTATTCCCTATACAAATGCTGAGGCGCGTGGTCAATCAGTGCCTTCTGTACATGCAAATATCTGGCTCATTTAAGGCTATATAGAACAATAATGATAGAACTCACAAGTGGATGATACGTTTATTTTTATTAATCTTTCTTATTTGTAAAAGAAATCTTTGGATGGGTTGATGCTTTATTAACCCTTTGGAGTCACACTGTGTCTTGGTGCACAGTGGCTGCACTACTTTATAGTTTAAAAACTGAAAAGCCTCTGAGCATAGAGGCAGAGCATAGCCATCGCAGCTAATAACAGTTGATAGCAGCATTGTCCATGAATTTGCAATATATTTCCAGTGCAAATAAACCTAAATTTTCCCACTTAAAACTTCCTAGAAAAACCTGTCCGTTGTGTTGGAACCCGCCTCATGAAGCCAGGCTACTCCAAGAGGCTGCCATCCAAATCGTCAGAATTCCAGAGGCAAATACATCTGTAAATGCCTTGGAGAGACTGAACCTGCCAAATATATCCTCCTCATCTTTCAATGTTTGCTTCTGCATGAAAAGGAGTTGCGTGATACTGTTCAGGGATGCAATAGCTTGGTAAATGACATCACTGAAATAAAAAATTTAAAGCAAGGGCATTTGTAACTTGATGCACTCTCAGTTATGTAATGTACTACTGTAATGTGCTTTTTGTGATATCATAAGATTGGGAAGAGGAGAGCACTGCTGTGATATTTTAGTTGATCTAAGACAGCAAAAACATCAGAAAAGCCCTGTTGCATCAGGCCGCTGGCTCATGTAGTCCAGCACCCTGTTCTTGCAGTAGCACACCAGATGACCCAATGGGAAGCTCACAAGCAACATCAGAGCACAAAAGCAACTCACTCATCACTTGTGATTCCCAGGAACTGGTACTCAGTGGTTGGCTGCCTCTGACAGTAGAAGTAGGCCATTAGAAGAGCCTTGCTAGATCAGGCCCCTCCAGTCCAGCATCCTGTCCTCATAATGTCCAGCCAGATGCCTGTGGAAAGCCCACAAACAGGACCCAAGAACAAGAGCCCTCTCCCCTCCTGCTGCTTCCAGCAACTGTTTCCAGAAGCATAGGGAGACAGAGCATAACCATCATGATAGTAGCAATCAACAGCCCTCTGCTTCATGAATTTTCCTAATCCTCTCTTGCAGTCAACTAAGCCATACTCGCCAACATTTATCCAATGAAAATAGGGATGTCCTAAGTAAAAGGAGGACATTCTGGGATCAGATCAGAAACCAGGACGGCTTTTGTAAATCCAAGACTATCCCTGGAAATTAGGGGCACTTGGAGGGTCTTGCCTCCCCATTCTGAAGGAGGAGCCAGAGTGGTCCAGCTTTAGTGGGGAAGCTGTTGTCAAGGCAACCATGACTCACCCAGCCCAGCCTATGTGACATTTCTGTCACTCACTGCTGGCTTCTAGGAACCAACTGCAACTGATCAGCAGTTGGCAGTGAGGAGCAGGAGTGAAAGAGTGGGCAGTGAGTTTGAAGCCCTGGCCCCAAAGCAATGACCAGGTCCATTGCTGCGGTCCTCCTCTGCCTCATCCGGACTTCCCTGACATGGGCTAAGTGGAGGGAGCTTGATGGCTGAGAGATGTTTTGAACCCAGGGCTCCAGTTTCTTAACTTCTCCTTGTTCTCTCCTAGCTTCAAGAGGCTGCGAGAGCTGCTGGGCAACTGCTGCAAGAGGAACAAGGTCCACCTCTTTGTCCCCAAGGAAGATCCAGCCCTTGTGAGTGGCCAGGGGATGGAAACAGGCGAGTCTGGGGGTCCAGGTGAGCAATTATTCTGTTGCTGAGAGGGAGACGATGGCGAGGCCTGTAAGACTCTGACGATAATGGAGTCAGGAGGAGACTGACCTCTGCTTGGAGGAGTCTTGGAGGAAGGCAGAAGTGGGGGTGTTTGTGTGTGTTGTTGTTTTTTATGTTCTTTCTGTCCTTTTTTCTTTGTTTCACCTGCAGAGTTGCCAGCCCAGGGCCAACCGTTGGAGCTCCACTCTTTGAGGAGGTTCACAGTGGAGCCCCTTGGGAAGATGATCTTCATGTGGCCAGGAGAACTTGGGAAGGGTACCTCAGCCTCCACCATCTTTGGCATTTAAAGCCGAGCTCTGGGAGGCAGTGGGGGGCAGTCCTTGGATAGGACATGCCAACATGCCCCCCAAGGGCACCTTGGGGGCCAGAAAGACCGTCTCTGGCGCCCACAGGTTCACCTCTCACCCCCACCAAAATCAGGCTTGAAATAAACATCTTTTGGTAGTCAACAGAATAGGGGCAGTTTGGGCTTTGGAGGGTGGGATGTGGCACCTCCAGGGGTTTCCCATCCCTTAAGTGGCTGTTCTCTTCTTTCCCTTTCCCTTCCACCCAGACTTCCGGGGTGGCGCCATCGGCAATGGCGGACTCCCTCTGAACTGGAGGGACCAGCTCCACGGGAATCGGGTCTTTTCCACTACGGCAAAGCGGGGACCCTTCTGGAAATCACAGGCGGATGAAGCCTGTGACCGTGGGACTCGGCGGGCACCTTTAGCGCCCCCCCAACCCGCAAAGGAACCCACTAACGGGCTCCAGAGCGAAGAGGGGGAAGTGGCGCGGTGCTGCTTCTTCCGTGGAGCGAAGCCGCACAGCCGTTGCCGGAGAGCGTTGCCTTTTTCCTGGGACAATTTGGCTTTTAAAACAACCACCCGTGAGTACTTAAGTTTTGGACAATTGTTTTTTGTTTTTTTAAATGATATTTATTGGGAATTTTTTTTAAAAAAAAATTACACACAAAAAAGACAAGACAGAAAAATAAAAATAAAATATAAAACCATCATTCTCAAGTTCTCCACTTTCAATACCTTCTTCCTTTGACTTCCTCCTCCTCCCTTTTCTTGTATCCTGATTAATAATAATTGCAGCAAATCCTTTCCATATTTCATAGTATTCTGTCATTACATTACCTTAATCTATTTTCATCTTATCTTATAGAAAACCTTAAAGTTTAAAACTTAAATCTTATTTTTACCAACTTCTCCTAGCCATAACATTCTTACCAAATTCTTTAAACATTTTTACAAGAGCCAAGTAATTTCGTTTCAACATTTTTCTAGCATTCATCAATTTTATAGAACAATCCTAATGATAAAAAAAAAATAAATAAAAAAACCTATTTTCATACAGCGTCCCTTCCTCCTGGTCCCGGGTTTTGTCAGTCCTTTTTATCTTATTAATCTAGCACATTAACCTGGTAATCTTATATCCGAAGCCCTCAAGTCTTTTCCATGTCCCTTCCGCAGCTCTTCTTCATATTTTCCTTTCATTCGTGGGAACTCCAGCTTGGTAATGTTTTTGACCCTTTTCAACAAATCAGCCCCTTTCCATAGTCCAGACTAGACTCCATGTGGTATTTAAAAACATGTTTCAGATTCCTCCAAAATTAAGAGCCCTCACAGCTCCAAACATCTGGCGGCCCATTGCCAGACTCGAAAAGTCCAAATCTCCCTGTATAGGGGTCTGTCCAACCCCCCATTTCCAAACCAAACCAAACTTTGTCTTTCCAAGTCTGGTTTTTTCCAAGTTCATTTATCAAATCCAAAAATTTATGTTCCTGCTTGGCCGCAGCTCCCTCCTTCTCTGGCGCCCAAGATTCAGCAGCATCCTCTTCTCTCAACTGTTCTGTCATGGCACACTCCTGTTTTACCTCCTGGGTGGGCTCCATATAATTTCCCACTACCTGTTCAAAGGTTCTGGCCGCATTAGTCATCAAATCCGTCTTCTGGCTTAACTGATCCAATAGGGCATTTATTTTGCAGAGAGCACCCAACAGTGCTTCTGAAGACATTGTCCTGCAAGGTCTCAAATCATTTCCCACGGTTGTAATCTGTGGCAGCTGCAAGCTCCCAGGAATTAGTTACAATTTCACAGTCCCCCTCTAGGGGGAAATCTTCTGGTTGTTCTTTCTTTTAAAAACAATAGCAACAAAGTTTTTTTTTTAAAGGTATTTTGTCCATATTTGTTCTTTTTAAAATGCGAAAGGAAACAATGGAATCACTATGTTTCTCTTCTTTTAACTATCTGTCAAAGACATTTGTTTCTGGTCAATGAGCTTCAAATGTCAATTCTGACACCCAGCTCCAGGATCAGGACGGTGGAAAATTACTTTGCTTTAAACTCACTTCTGCAGGTTTAAACAGCCCAAAAGATCCCCTTCTTCTCCTGCTGCCGAAGGGGGTTCAGCGATTTTAAATGATGAAGCCAATCCTCTGAAAGTGATTTTTAAAGCTCTAGTTTACGTTGTCTTTGCTTTATTCTGGCTACAAGGAAACGGAAGGCTGACTTCCTGTTTAGACCTTCCCGTTTCAGTACCAAATTAAGGTAAATTTTTAAGTCCAAATTCCTTTCTATTTTGCCAGTTCTTATTTAAAGTCCAAATGTTCAATGTTCCAGTACTCACGGGTGGTTATTTTAGATGCCAAATTGTCCCAGGAAAAAGGAAGCGCTCTCCGGCAACGGCTATACGGCTTCGCTCCGCAGAAAAAGCAATTGACTCACAGCACCACGCCACTTCCTCTCTTCGCCTGGAGCCCGTTAGTGGGTTCCTTTGCGGGTTGGGGGCGCTAAGGGTGCCCGCCGAGTCCCACGGTCACAGGCTTCATCTGCCTGTGATTTCCAGAAGGGTCCCCGCTTCGCCGTAGCGGAAAAGACCCGTTTCATGCGGAGCTGGTCCCTCCAGTTCAGAGGGAGTCCGCCATTGCCGATGGCGCCACCCCGGAAGTCTGGGTGGAAGGGAAAGGGAAAGAAGAGAACAGCCACTTAAGGGATGGGAAACCCCTGGAGGTGCCACATCCCACCCTCCAAAGCCCAAACTGCCCCTATTCTGTTGACTACCAAAAGATGTTTATTTCAAGCCTGATTTTGGTGGGGGTGAGAGGTGAAGTTTCGGACAATTTGACTCTAAATAAGGATTTGTGAGCAGAAAGGAAAACTGGACTTAAAAGTTTAATTTAATTTGGCACTGAAACGGGAAGGTCTAAACAGGAAGTCAGCCTTCCGTTTCTTTGTAGATAGATTAAAGCAAAGACACAGCAAACTAAAGTTCTGAAAATCGTTTCTAAAGGATTAACTTTCATCATTTAAAATTGTGGAACCCCCTTCGGAAGCAGGAGAAGAGGGGGGATTTTTTCTGGACTGTTTAAACCTGCAGAAGTGAGTGTAAAGTAAAGTAACTTTCCACCGTCTTGATCCTGGAGCTGGGTGTCAGGACTGACGTTCTTTGAAGCTCATTGACCAGAGACAAACGTTTTTGACAGATAGCTAAAGGAAGAGATACATAGTGATTCCATTGTTCCCCTTCACATTTTAAAGGAACAAATATTGACAAAATATCTGAAAAAGGAAACTTTGTTGTTAGATTTGTTTTTAAAAGAAAAGAACAAGAAGAAGTCTTTCCCCTAGAGGGAGCATGTGAAACTGTAACCAATTTTGAATTGGGAAGCTCGCAGCTGTTACAGATTACGATCGTGGGAATAGACTTCTGACCTTGCAGGACAATGTATTCAGAAGCTCTGTTGAGTGCTTCTGTAAAACAAGTGCCCTACTGGAACAGCTACATGAGAAGACGGATTTTATGACTGATGCGATTAGAAATTTTGGACAGGCAGTGGGATATTATATAGAGCCCACCCAGGAATTAGATCAGGAGTGTGCCCTGACAGAACAGATGAGGGAAGAGGATGTTGCTGAATCTTGGGCGCCAGGGATGGAGGGAGCTGCGGCCCAGCAGGAACATGAATTCTTGGATTTGACAAATGAACTTGGAAAAAGCCAGATTTGGAAGAAGAAGAAGAGTTTGGATTTGATATCCCGCCTTTCACTCCCTTTAAGGAGTCTCAAAGCGGCTAACATTCTCCTTTCCCTTCCTCCCCCACAACAAACACTCTGTGAGGTGAGCGGGGCTGAGAGACTTCAGAGAAGTGTGACTGGCCCAAGGTCACCCAGCAGCTGCATGTGGAGGAGCGGAGACGCGAACCCGGTTCCCCACATTATGTGACTACCGCTCTTAACCACTACACCATACTGGAAAGATAAAGTTTGGTTTGGTTTGGAAATGGGGGATTGGATAGACCCCCCTATGCAGGGAGGTTTGGACTTTTCGAGTCTGGCAATGGGCCGTGAGATGTTTGGGGTTGTGGGGGCTCTTAATTTTGGAGGGTTTTTGAAACATGTTCTTAAATACCACATGGAACTTAGTGGGGACTATGGAAAAGGGGCTGATTTGTCGAGAAGGGTCAAAAGTATTGTCAAGCTGGAGTTCCCAAGAGTGAAAGAAGTAGGAGATAAAGGAAAATATAGCTATAAATATGAAGAAGAGCTGCGGAAGGGACATGGAAGAGACTTAAGGGCCTCGGACATAAGGTTACCAGGTTAATGCGCTAGATTGATGGGATAGAAAGGACTGACAAAACCCGGGTCCAGGAGGAAGAGACGCTGGATGAAGATTGGATTGTTATTTCTTTTATTATGATTGTTTTATAAAATTGATGAATGTTAGAAAAATGTTGGAACGAAATTATTTGGCTTTAGCAAAAATGTTTAAAGAATTATGTAAGAATATTATGGTTATGAGAAATTGGTAAAAATAAGATTTAAGTTTTAAGTTTTAAGGTTTTCATAGTAAGATAAGATTAAAATAGATTAAGGTAAAGTAATGACAGAATATTATGAAATATGGAAAGGATTTGCTGTGACAATTAATAATCAGGATACAAAAAAAGGGAGGAGGAGGAGGTCAAAGAAAGAAGGTAATGACAGTTAAAGATATGAGAATATTGGATTTGTTTTTAAATGTTTGTGGTATATTTTTGTTTTTTAATTGTGTCGTGTTATTTTTTAATTTTGATTTTTATTAATTTGTATTGTTTGATTGTGGTTTGTCTTTTCTTTGTTTTTTCTTTCTTTTTTTCTTTTTTATTCTCTTTTGTAATTTTAAAATTTTCAATAAATATCATTAAAAAAAAAGAAGAAGTCATCATCAAAGACCTTGAGTCAGGGGAGAGGGAGATCTTGCCAAGTTACCGTATTTTTCGCTCTATAAGACGCACCAGACCACAAGACGCACCTTGTTTTTGGAAGAGGAAAACAAGAAAAAAAATATTCTGAATCTCAGAAGCCAGAACAACAAGAGGGATCACTGCGCAGCGATCCCTCTTGCTGTTCTGGCTTCTGGGATAGCTGCGCAGCCTGCATTCGCTCCTTAAGATGCACACACATTTCCCCTTATTTTTTAGGAGGG